GAGAGAGAGAGAGAGAGAGAGGGAGAGAGAGAAACAGTCACACACCCAGAGAGAGACAGACAGACAGCTCAGACACAGACTGAGAGACACAACCCCGCTCCCCAGTTTCTGAACGAACCACTTCCTCCCCTCCCCTCGAACTTCGACAAGCAAGTAGAACGTCTCTGACTCTGAACCCTGAGAATAGTGCCAAGAACGAGCCCACGTCACAGCACCCACCGAGCTATAAACTGACGACATAGCCTACCCACCGGCCAACTACCACTACCAGACGCCGGCTGGACAGGCTGCAATATATACATGTTATACTATAAGTGTTTATTATAGAGTAGTTGTTAAAAGGAAAGCTCGTGCTCTTTATGCAGACAAGGACTAATAATAGTAGAGACTGTGCACAACAACAGCAGCTCCGGTCGGGGACATTTTATATTTTGTGAAGTGTAAATCCTTGCTCGGTTTTGGATAGCTGCTCAACCAAGGCCTGGTGCTGGTGAGTGGACATTTTGTATCTCCCTCTCTTAGTTTACGATATTTCTACTAGTAAGAGTTTTACGGCACTTGAAACATAAATTAAATACATCACACAAGTACCGTACCGAAGACTAGAGTATTTATTTACAGGTGTTACACGAGAGATTGACAATATAATATCTGTACAGAGAAAAGAAGGAGAAGAGACAAGGGCGATAGTGATAGGTGGTTTTTTTTTGGGGCTATTTTTACAGAGAAGAAGGAACAAACTACACAAGAACACCCGCCAAGCACTCATGCATCTCTCTCTGTGCATGCAAACGTAAAATATACGTGTGTGTGTGTGTGTGTGTGTGTGTATACACCTGAATGCGTGTGGGTGTGTGTGTGGGGGGGGCGGGGGGGATTAATATTCATGTCAATAGGTCAATCCTGCATCATTAGGTATATTTATACAAAACGATCTCGTGGCATTCATTCTGTTGCTTCATTGTGCCAACTTGTATTGTAGTACAAATGTACCGTAATGCTGCAGCAAAGAGGGAAATCTGCAAGCTGTGCACATTCAGAAGTGGATGTGATTAATGACGCTTTTAAATCAGACACAGGGAAGCGTGTCCAAGTCTCGAACCGAGCGAAGCGATTCCAAATATCTCGTGGGCCAGAGCATGAGGAAACTGACTGAAATCGGTTGAAATACCAACGTTCTAAAAAAGTTTAAAGACTAAAACTGACACAATAAACAGTGCCGGAGACAGTTAATTTCTATTTTTAATTTGAAAAATTCTGCTTTTGCTTTTATTAATACACATCATGTAGTAGCCTACGTGTCATCTCACCGAGGGTTAATAAATGGTTATATTACTGGGTCGACAAGCGGACCAGAATGAAATTGCTCGCAGACGCTAGTTAGTCCAAAGATTCTCTACTAGTAAAGAATATTTGGTTAGCCCATGCCTATTTTATTTTAATTAAAGGCTCAAGATGTGGCATTATCTTCTCTTCCAGAAAAGGTCTCATTGGCCGAGCAATACCCAGGCAAAACGACCAGTGTCTGTGTTGTAGTTGTAGCAAATAGACACTTTGCCATCGCACACAGGGGACCCGTGCTCAGTTTCAGTGTAGGGGGACTCTTATCGAGTATTGTAGTAGAGGTATCTTGGCCTTTCTGCTGGGATGTTGTATCCCTTTCAGTTTCAGCCCAGATTGCCCCTGATAGGCAGGGTTGTAGCCCGCCTCGACACATTGTTAACTACAGTAAACTAAACCATAATAAACCCAAGAGAAACAAATCAAAACAATTGTGCGTTTGAGTAGCTGAAAGTAGCTTTACTTTAATGATTCCAACTGAGGTGGGCGGGTGGAGGGTGGGTCACAGCACGTGTCGTCACAGCGTAGCAAACAGAAGAACAGACAGCTAGCGACACACAGAAAGCCTCACACATAGCAGTGTACACAACAGTACACAGATGTCTTTGTGGATGGGGGGGGGGGGGGGGGGGGGGC